AGTTCGAGCGAGGTCGAACTGTCGAGCTTTGATGGCGAAGGTACTTAGCCTGAGTCCCACTCCGAGTGAGGTCGAACAACAAAGCTTTGATGGTGAAGGCACGTAGCTTGAGCCCTAGTTCGAGCGACGTCGAACTGTCGAGCTTTGATGGCGAAGGCACTTAGCCTGAGTCCCAGTCCGAGCGAGGTCGAACTGCCGAGCTTTGATGGCGAAGGCACTTAGCCTGAGCCCTAGTTCGAGCGAGGTCGAACTATCGAGCTTTGATAGCGAAGGCACTTAGCCTGAGTCCTAGTCCGAGCTAGGTCGAACTGCCGAGCTTTGATGGCGAAGGCACTTAGCTTGAGCCCTAGTTCGAGCGAGGTCGAACTGTCGAGCTTTGATGGCGAAGGCACTTAGCCTGAGTCCCAGTCCGAGCGAGGTTGAACTTTAATGGCGAAGGCACTTAGCCTGAGCCCTAGTTCGAGCGAGGTGGAACTGTCGAGCTTTGATGGCGAAAGCACTTAGCCTGAGTCCCAGTCCGAGTGAGGTCGAACTGCCGAGCTTTGAGGGCGAAGGCACTTAGCCATAGCCCTAGTTCGAGCGAGGTCGAACTGTCGAGCTTTGATGGCGAAGGCACTTAGCCTGAGTCCTAGTTCGAGCGAGGTCGAACTGTCGAGCTTTGATGGCGAAGGCACTTAGCCTGAGTCCTAGTTCGAGCGAGGTCGAACTGTCGAGCTTTGATGGCGAAGGCACTTAGCCTGAGTCCTAGTTCGAGCGAGGTCGAACTGTCGAGCTTTGATGGCGAAGGCACTTAGCCTGAGTCCTAGTTCGAGCGAGGTCGAAATGTCGAGCTTTGATGGCGAAGGCACTTAGCCTGAGTCCCAGTCCAAGCGAGGTCGAACTGCCGAGCTTTAATGGCGAAGGCACTTAGCCTGAGCCCTAGTTCGAGCGAGGTTAAACTGTCGAGCTTTGGTGGCGAAAGCACTTAGCCTGAGTCCCAGTCCGAGCGAGGTCGAACTGCCGAGCTTTGAGGGCGAAGGCACTTAGCCTTAGCCCTAGTTCGAGCGAGGTCGAACTGTCGAGCTTTGATGGCGAAGGCATTTATCCTGAGCCCTAGTTCGAGCGAGGTCGAACTGTCGAGCTTTGATGGTGAAGGCACTTAGCCTGAGTCCCAGTCCGAGCGAGGTCGAACTGCCGAGCTTTGATGGCGAAGGCACTTAGCGTGAGTCCCAGTCCTAGCGAGGTCGAACTGCCGAGCTTTGATGGCGAAGGCACTTAGCCGGAGCCTTAGTTCGAGCTAGGTTGAACTGTCGAGCTTTGATGGCGTAGGCACTTAGCCTGAGTCCCAATTCGAGCGAGGTCGAACTGCCGAGCTTTGATGGCGAAGGCACTTAGACTGAGCCCTAGTTCGAGCGAGGTCGAACTGTCGAGCTTTGATGGCGAAGGCACTTGCCTGAGTCCCAGTCCGAGCGAGGGCGAACTGCCGAGCTTGATGGCGAAGGCACTTCGCCTGAGTCCCGTTGTTTACATCGATGGTTCAACGCCTCTGGCGTTAAGTGTTGGCTTCATTTTGGCCTGTGGTTGTATGTTGTACCCGTACTACTATTGTTCGCTTGACCGTGGCACTCAGGTTGCTCCGAGGCGATTTTCGATTCCTCGTTTGAAACACCTCTGCGCTGGTTTCCGGCCTGATACAGTATGGTGGATGAGAGGGGGATGCTCCATTCTTTTGCCCGGCGCTCGGGAGGAGAAGGGGGGACGCTTTGCATCACTTCTTTCCTCGCTCGGGCCGTTCGAGGTCAACGGGGCGGAAGATTTCTGGCTCCCGTTGGTGCATTCGATTCTTTTTTTTTTGTTGATGCGCCTCCATCTACTCTGGTTCGAGTCAAATTTTCTTCTTGGTGTTTCTTTTTTTTCTATCCAGGAAGAACTAAGTATTTCACTAGGAAATCCCCACAGACGGCGCCAAATTGTTTGTCTCAAAAGTTGTTTAATACTTTCTAAGCAAATCAATCGATGTAGATGAAGGGGTAAATCGTAGTCAACATTAATTAATACTGGATCAAAGAACATAATCATAAAGATAGAAGAATTAATTGATATGACACCTGAGAGGTTTTTATTGATTATAGAAATTTGGCCTGCCTCTCCTTGAAGAGGTTCAGGAGATTACAATCAACTTCTTTCTTCCTCCTTGGAGGTGGAATCTCTCTCTCCGTCTCTAAGATTGTATTGTCTCTCTCTCGTGGATTTTTTCCTCCTTCCCTTTAAGGGGTTCTTCTGCTTTCTATTTATAACCCAAAATTCCTTATGCTTATCATATTTTGTTCGGGCCGGGTCGGGGAGATGACCTCCCCTCATGGGGAGGCCTCGACCTCGACACTCATGTCGTAAATAGCAGCGATTAGGCGAAGTCGAGTTCGTTGATTACTGCTGCGGGGTGGTCGGGACGGGGTCCTTGCTGCTGTGGTCGTGTGGTCGGATTCTGACCAATACACAATCGAGGAGGGATAAAAATGAGGTGTTTAAAGCTTAAAAGCGCAGAATTGAGTTCTAAAACATAAGATGGCCTTTCGGGTCATCACAATAAATTGTTATAAAAGATACCGTAAAATATACATACACATATACATGCATTTAAAAATAGATATGTGCACATACACATATATACGCGTATCGCTGAACGTACGCGTTTTTGTGTACAAATATAAAAAAGGAAATCCCTATTATAGCAACCCCATCTTCTCCTGATTTATCTCTGTTCTGACAATATAAAAATGCCTGCAAGTTGCACAAAAAAACACACCACAGAATTTGTTTCCACCGAAAATTATTCGTGGAATAAGAGGTTTTGATTTTTAAGGTATGAAATCTATAGGGTTCATGGAAAGGATGCTCCGTTAATTTGTTTCAAACAAAAAAACAAAGAAACTTTCCAAGACTAACCTTGATATACTTTATTTTATGTTACAATCTGTTGTCAACGTTCATATAAATCTGTGATTATAGGAATTGAATCTCAAAATTATGTTTGTTTTGTGGGTTCTAAAAGTTTTTTTTTCAGGCAGTAATGCAATTTACATCAATTTAACAATAGGCTAATATTTTTAAATATCTGACATTGTATGCATATTAAGTCATAATTTTTTTATATTTTATAAAGTCTCACAAAAAGTTTTCTTTGAATTGTTTGTAGAAGTAGCATGGAACATACAAAATTGCAATGTCTATGCCTACTCATTTGTTCCTTGATTGTGCTAAATGGAAAAAGTGTACTTGGAGGGAACCAAACATCAAATGAAAATCTTGGCATGGTTGATTTAACTATTTTAGAAAGTGCAGTGTCAAAAGGAGCTGGTAAAATTCCTTTTTCTTCATAATGCATTAGTTTATATGCATGTAGCCATAGGCGGAACTATAGGAGCGAAAAAGGGTTCGGATGAAAAGGGTTCGGATTTTCATCCAAACCCCTTCGGCGAAAAATTATCCATATATAGGGGCGGAACTATAGGAACGAAAAAGGGTTCATCCGAATCCCTTCGTCGGAAAATCACCATATATATATATANATATATATATATATATATATATATATATATATATATATATTTGATGAATCCCTTGATGAAAATTCTGCCTCACATGTGATAAATATTTCGTTATTTAACCAACGTTAATATCATATGCAATGGGCATATATAACCATATTAATGATATTTGGATTTTTATATGCTTTTAGTTTGCTTGGATGGGTCTCCACCAGCATTCTATTATGACAAGGGACATGGAGAAGGAGCTAATAATTGGATTATCTACTTTAGGGTATGACCTATATATGCAAATAAAGTTTTATCTGTCATTTTTATGTTATTTTTATCTGTTGTAGCAGGGTAGTCTGTGCTATTCTCAAAATTGCATATATCATATTTTAAGGAGACTTATTTATAGATATTTCTTTGAGCGACCTGATAGTGTAATTTTTTTTAATATTGACGGTATATATAATTTAAACTCATGCAAATAATAGTTTCATTAAAAACTTGAAGCATTTGCATTGTCTTATAACATGAATTTATTTGTTTTATTGACTTCAATTCTAACTTTGATATTTGGATTAAGGGAGGAGAATGGTGTTATAACGTGATAGATTGCCTCTGTCGCACAAAGACAGAAAAAGGTTCCTCAAAACTTGCTCTAAAGCAAAGATCATTTTATGGAATACTTAGCAACAACAAAACAGTGAATCCAGGTAATATACATTTAATACTTACAATCTCACTAAATCATGTTATCATTTCTAAATATTCTCATTTAATTATCTCAATTTTTTGTTTAAAATGTTAGATTTCTACAATTGGAATAGAGTCATGGTTATATATTGTGATGGAGCATCGTTCACAGGAGACGTTGAAATAGTTGACCCGGTACATCATTTTTAAGCTCAGCTTCTTGCATATTCTTATATGTTTTGTAGGGACTCGGAGTATTTACTCTTTTATTACTTGAAATTTTCACCAATCCAAGAACAATTTGCCGGTCTAGATTAATTAATTATGCATTGTTTTTGATAATATGCTAATGTTTATGATCAGGTCACTAACCTTCATTTTAGAGGCGCGAGGATTTTTCATGCATTGATCGAACATTTCTTGGCGAAAGGGATGAAGGATGCAAAAAATGTATGTCACCATAGTATCAGTAACTCGTCAACACTAAACAAGTTTTTTGTGATTTTTTTTTCTTTTTTGAAAAATGACTTTCGTTATACCAAACAAACAGTATTTCTCAAATGTTTTACGACTTTCTATTATTGTTTTGACAGGCTATTCTCGCTGGTGGTTCAGCTGGAGGATTGCCTGCTTTACTACATTGTGATCGTTTTCGAGCTCTTCTTCCTAACTCAGCTAGAGTAAAGTGTCTTGCTGATGGTAGTTATTTTCTTCACAAGTAAGAATTAACCTAAGATCCAGTTTTATATACTGATATCGTAAGAGATTTCATACAAATACTATAGTTTAACTTATAGTATGTTCGTCTATTTTCAAATTGTCATACAAGATTTTCTGTGAAAAGTTACATGTTGTAGGTTAACTTAACATGCAGATGGTGTAAAATATAATTATACATTGTCAATGCGCGTAACTTAAAATCTTATTGTAATTAATAATGCTATTAGATGAATTACAGTGTTGTTAATTTGTGTAACAGGAAAAACATGAAGGAAATACCATTCATGGATATTGTCAATGAAGGACTGATTAAATTACATGTACAATTCCTCTTCCTTCTTAAGCTCTGTTTTGTCACTCCTTTTTCTTTATTACCATAGTTACTTCCATAATGGAAGTTCCATTATCAATCCTCACAATTACTCCCTCGTCTCATTTTATATGATGTACTTTAATTTGACTGGACAAAAAATTTAAGAAAGAAAAAAAAAATTCGAAATTTGTGGTCTAATATAAAACATAGATATTTTTGTGACTATAATTTATTTTATTTAGGATAAATAATAAGTTCAATGCTAAATTATTTCTGAATATAGCAAGATTTTATTCTTTTTGAAAAAAAGGTACATCACATAAATTGAGACGGAGGGAATGCAATTCAATATTATTTTTTTCTGATTTTTTTTTTTTTAAAAATCAATCAGCATTCAGCCAAGATGTTGCCATCATCCTGCATTGCAAAAATGAGACCATCTTTGGTAAGAATCCGTTGCCATTCAAGGGTTTTACCCAATGGTAATTTTAAACTAATGCTATGTTTAATGAATTTGCAGTGCCTTTTTCCACAATATTTTCAACAAGAAATCCAGACACCATTTTTCATAGTCAACTCAATGTTTGACACATTTCAGGTCAACTAAATTCTCCATTAAGTGCATGAAAAAAATTAAATTAGAACTTGACGATATCTATGTCATCTTTTAGTATAAAGTCTTCAATTTTTTAATATTGTTTCTTATATACTGAATTTGCATTAACAATCTTTTATCTTCGGATATATCCAGATAAACAAGACTTTTCCTGGTTATTACGAAGACCTTAATAACAATACGTGCTCAGCTACTCTTGTTAAAACTTTACAAGGTTAGTGATGCAAACTTCATATTCTATTTATTAAAAGAATTATCTATATACCCAAGAGAAGCGAGCGTTGGAGCAACGATAAAGTTATCTTCATGTGACCTATAGGTTAGGGGGTTGAACGTGGAATCAGCCACTGATGCTTGCATCAGGGTAGGTGCCTACATCACACCCTTTGAGGTGCGGGTATTTCTCGAGCACTGCATGAATGCGGGATGCTTCGTGCACCAGGCTGCCCTTTTTATTTATATAACCAAGTCGAATTTGGATTTAATTAATTATGAATTAAATATGTGAAATTCATGAAATTTGGAAAATCTCATGTAATTTTTGTTGTTTCATTTCAGATTTTAAACAGGAGTTCTTAAGTGCATTACCCAAACAAAGTAATTGTTCTTCATCTAGAGGAATGTTTATTGACTCTTGCTTGATTCATTCCCAAATATTAAGTGGTGTAGGTTGGAATGGCTTCACGGTACATAATAAGGTAAATCAACTTCAACTTTAGGTGTAGATGATTTTTGGTTGTGCATTATATTCTGTACTCTACATAAAAAAGGGTTGCACTTCAGAATTTGTATTTGTTAAAACTCATAACAACTATATATTACTATATTCACTAAAAAAAAAATCTTCTCAAACACTCACTAAAAATGAGTTGATTACTCAGACGGTGACTCAATTAATGAAAAATATGCAAGAAAGTCATTTTTTTTAATTTTGTAACCGAAAAGTCATTGTATAAGAAAAGTTAGTAAATTTGTGAATTCGTATTTTCAAAAGTATAATAATTAATTTAATGCTAAGAATTTTGAATTTGTCAAGTTTAAATTCTTGATCAGCCTCTAGTGATAATTATTACAAGTAACTGATTATTATAACAATGAAGTTGGTAACCTAGAAAAAAAGGTAATTAAGTAACTTATTATAACTAGTTAAACTATACTATTAACGTAAAGATTTCATTCTAAGTTGTGTATGTGTTTTTTTTGTTTTTTTTTTTAACAGACAATTGCAAAGGCATTTAGCGACTGGTACTTCGATCGGAGTCCCGTTCAATTGATAGATACACCAGACATGCCACTGAATTGTTACAAATTCCCCTCTGTTACAAGCTTTTGTACCTAAATATCTAGAAAGCTGTTTAAGACTCCAGGTTATTGAAACGAACACAAGGCTTCAACAAGTGCCCGTTGTAGGACGAGCTACTCCACAGTAATTTTAAAAGCGCCTTTCTTTCTTTCCTTTTTAAACTTTCAGAGCTACTCCACAATAATTTTAAAAGCGCCTACATTTCTTTCTTTTTGGAGCTTTTACTTTGAGTCGTCGGTCTTATTTAACGGATTGTGACTTTTTCACTTGAACAGAAAAGTGAAATTCTTCTAATTTTTCACAAAATCTCAAATGTACTATTATAAGAAGCAATTGATTTATGCATTTAATTTTGCGAACTTTTGTTTATTTCTTAATCGTTCCCAACATGTTGATTTAGCAATTAATTAAAGAATATTCAGAAAAAGACGTAAAGACTTCCCAGAACATAGTGGGGGTATATATATTTTTTTAAAATTCTAAAAAGTAGTAATTATACTATAAAAGTCTTTATTAAGTTCTACAAAATTCACAAACTCATTATTGCATCTGCAGACTGCCTAAGACAAAATACAGCCTCATAATCCATCTCAAATTGTTAAATAAATCATTAATTTAAATGTTTTAAATTAGAAAGTACATACATTTCAGTATCACTATATAATTTATATTACATAATCTAACCTACATGGCCCTTGATAGGAAAGTCTTGAGGTCTAGTATCAGGGTTGTAGGATAGGAGCTTCTAGAATTTTTCGTACTTCTGTCCCGGGGCTTGGGGGGGGGGGGGGGTTGGTAGGGCTCTCCATAGATGATCTGTGTATTGTATTGTGCCCCCTTATGGTAGTTACTGGTCGATATATTTGCATGCCATTTTATTTATGGTTTATGTTTAGATAATTATTTATGTGATNATTTATGGTTGATCTTTAGATAATTATTTATGTAATTTCTGCTGGAGTTACTAATGCTCTTTTGTTTTTTGTTTTTTTTGTTTGTTTTTTTTTTGTTTTTTGTTTTTTTTGTTTTTGTTTTCCTTTTCCTTTTCCTGAGCCGAGGGTCGATTGGAAACAGTCTCTCTGCCCTTTCGGGTAGGGGTAAGGCCTGTGTACGTATTACCCTCCCCAAACCCCACCTTGTGGGACTATATTGGGTAGTTGTTCTTGTTTAACCTACTATGAGAAGCTGGAGGATATACGATTGGAGAAATTGTGGATAAGGTCATACTCACATGGAAACATACTTTCACCCTTTTCGCACTTGTCATTAATTTGTTCTTGAGTAAAATCGTTAAATAAATCCCACCCATATTCCACATAATCATCCCGGCATTGTAGATAGCAAAATAACTTCTTATCTTCTTCAGGAGTTATACAGTTTATCAATGTCATAGGAAATAAAACTAAGACAAAAATGCAGATTTGTAACACAACCATAATTTGCCCAAGACAACATAGCCATCATTGTGGGGAGGTTAAAGAGCATCCAACGCAAAGCGGCCTTTCATTCCCTTGTTTCGTCGTGGCACACCCCCCTCCCCCCACAAGCACCCACCGGCTCAGGGGGACCAGAAAACGCCTTTCGTACGTTTTCCACCCTTCGTCGGCCCTTGCCGCCTTCCTTACAACATATTTTTCCCGGATATATTTCCTGCAGAATAAAATTTGTGTTAATTAAGCATCAACGAGCCCAAATCCCCCAATTCAAACTGTAATTTTGGCTGAAACGTTACCAATAACACATATACTACCTTATACAAAATGATCTCACAATTCTATGACAATATCAGTAAAAAAAAATTGTTTGATGGGATTTAAATGATATAATTGAGTTGAGACATTTACCGCGGCTATATGGATGAAATAAAAAAGAATTATTAAATAGGAATTCTTTGCATTTTACACCCTAATAAGGAAGAAGTTTGATAGATTTCTTTCTCAAACGTTATCCTTTTTTCCTTCTAATTCATCTTCTTGTAATGTAATATTTCCTTCCATTTTGTTTATTCCACTTTGTTCCTAATTTTAATATTTCCATCACGATACTTTTAAGTTTTAAACGAGGAATACCAACACATAATTATAACCTAATAAGAGAGGTTGGACCGGTCTTTTCCTTTATATATTCAATTTTAGATATGATCAGTGCTGTCAATATGAGAGGAAATATTCTCTTTTGCAACACTTACAATTTAAATAGAAATAACCTTATAAAGATCTCTTGTGTTTTATTTTTAGATCTTATGTGTTATTCTTTTATTAATCTCCTGAGAAAAGAATCATATAACATATAACAATTATTATGGACTACATAACAATATATTTCTCCATCAATTTCACAGGGCAAATATCTTTCACCCCTTTTGCATTTTTTAATATATTGTTCTCCGGTAAGATCCTTAAATAGGTCCCAACTATTAATTGTATAGGCTTCCACACAATCGAGATAGCAAATGTACTCTATTTCTTCACGAGTTTTACAATTTACCAGTGTCCCAGGAAATAAAACCAAGACGAAAATGTAAATTTGCAACATAGTCATAATTTGCTTACGACAAATTCTTATTTGATATATATTTCCTGCAAAATAATACTTATGTGAGTGCCAATAAAAAATCTTTGGTAACAATCCTTTCTAAAACTAATCAGCACCTTATAATTAATAAAAAGGCGTCCTTTTAAAGTGTTACCCAAAATAAAAAGGTAGAAATATCTACTGCAATTTTAAAATCTCCCAAATAGATATTTCAACAAGTGTACAAATAAATTCAAAAAGTAAATAAACTAAAATAAGTTTGCTTACGCTATTTTGATAGTCAAACTATGTCTGTAAAATAGTTTTATTCTGATTGGTAATGCTTTATCAAATTCATGTGAGACACAACAAATGTTTATTTGTTTTTCTTTTTTCAAACAATAGATGGTTCATAAATAGGTCTTTGACATTGTAACGTTTGGTCCAAATTTATTTACTCTTTTGGGAGTTTCGAAAACGTTATATATGTTTCATTGTCAATTATGAAAATGACATGGACATCGCATGCAAGCAATAATCAAACTTACATTGAATGAGTTCACCAACACATATGATGGAGTAATTTTATTATACCACGTTGGGGATATGTTATTTATAGATCCATGTTACAATATCAACCACTCATAGCAACCTATTTTTAGGCATTTTTTTTCAAAAAATTGTATACCAGATGGGGACTTCTTGGGGGGGAGGGGAGGGGGAACAAAGAAGTAATGTCGACTA